CTGCCTATCACCAGCTCCTAAAATAGGGCCTGGAACTTGACAGTGTGAGAGAAATATTTGTTTAACAGATGAATCCCTGTTCTCATGGCGCTTGCATTCTCTCTTTGAATTTAAGATTCAAAGATCATCGCTCAGAGGACAGGATCTTACAGTCAAAGACAAAGTATCAATTTCGGATAGCAAAGTCTAAGGTTCATAATTCAGAAGCTAAGGATCAAAGATCATATTTGGAGGCTAGAGGTCAGAAGGAACCCCAGCAAGAGTTCTAGTAACAGTCCCAGAACTGGGGTCAAGAAGGTCAAATCAGATTTTGGGACCAGTGGGTAGAATGTGGATTCCAGGAACTGATAATCATAGTTCAAGAAAGAAAGGTCAGAAATCACTGGGTTAGAATCAAAGCTGGATAAGAGATTGGCATTGTTAAAAATTAGGACTTGGGCGTTAGAGGTAAGGAAGTCCAGCATCGGAAGTCAGACTTAGGAGTAAAAGTTTAGGAAACCTTAGGGATCAAAGACTAAAGGGAAATCCAGACGCTGGATCCTACGGCTCCGTTTGGTAGCCTAGGGTTCACTCACGTGTCCCCATCCTCAGTGACGTAGCCAAAGACAAGGGGCGCCCAAGACAGCCCTGGTCCTCCGGGGGCCGCCGCGTCCGGACCCAGAGAGCCCAGGCCGCTGTCGCACCATTCATCCGCGTCCGCAGCTTTCCCGAAGCACGCGACCCCAGCCATGGCCCCAGCCACCTCTGGGCCCCCAGCGGCCGCCCGCCTGTAGGTGGGCTCTGCCGGGAGCTCGGGTGCTTCCGCCTTGTGGGAAATTCCCCAACACGCCCCCTAATTCGTCCAGTCAAAGTGGATTAAATCGCACACGCCCTGCCCCCGTGCCTCACGGTGACCAATCAGAGTACTTGGATGGACTACCGCTCTCTAGTCGTCCCCACACTTTCCGGGCGCCCTTTACCAACATGGCTGCCGACGCCAGGCCCTCTGGGACTCGTAGTTCGGCTCTCGCATGTCTTCCTTACCTAAGGGGGGCGTGCTTCGGTTGCTGTAGGAAAACGCCTATGCGACCGCGAAGGCTGCTGGGAGTTGTAGTTCTCTGGCCTATCCCTGCCCTCCTGTTTCCGGTGCCATCACGGGGCAGAGCGGTCGGTGACAGCCCCGAGGGCCCCCGCCCGGCGCCCATGGCCGAGCCGGACCGTGAGTCGGGGGCCCCGGAGGGAGGCTCGGGCCGCGCCGGGGCCTGAATGAGGGCTTCAGGCCCCGGGGCCCGATGGCGGGCACGGTGGGGCGGGAAATAGGAACTACTTGAAGGAATGGGATTCGGAGGGCTGTTGGCTAAGTCGTCCATATTGCTAGGTTGTTGGGTTTCTGGGTAGCAAGGTGTTAAGGGTCCGTTTACTATGTCCGTTTGCCAAGTTACCAATGTTTCTCGCACCTTGGTTGCTAAGGACCCTCGTTGCTAAGAACATAGGTTACCGCGGTCCGGGTTGCTTAAGGGTACCTGGTTGTTATGGGCAACTGTAGCATGCTAGAGGACCCCTGATGTCCCCTCCTATCTGTTGCCCCTAGTTCCTGTGCCTCTCTTAAACCTACCACTTCCATTGCACCTCCTCTCCCAAACCCGCCTCCGAGCAGAGGTTTCTCTTCTCTCTTCCTTTCTAAACTTCCCTGTGCCTTGTAAACCTAACCCTCCCTGCGCATGCACCCACATTCTACTATGTCCATCCCAAGTCCCCCCCTAAGTCTTCCTTCATGCCCTCTATTCCCTACTTTCTCCTCCCTCTTCTCCTAAAGCTTCCCTCCGCAGCCTCTCTGCCCCTCACTAACCACGCCTCCTGGCAGCGCTTTCCCCTCCAATGAGATCTGCTTTTCCGCATCCCCTCCCTCCCTCTACCACCCCGACCCCAGTGTAACTAGGTGGGTGGGTCTTCTTGCCCCCGCCACTGCCACTTTGAACCCCTTCATTCCCCCTTAACCGTTCCCCCCACTGTAACCACGTCTGCTCCCCCAGCCCCTGACTCTCTGGAGAACCAGGCAGGGAAGGTGCAGGAGGCTCAGGTGAGATGGGGGAAAGGGTGGAGGGAAGGAGAGAGACGGACTTGTTCCCACATCCCAAATTGGGGGGAGGTGGCAGAGGGGAGACAGTTACCCCAGGTCCTCGCCCCACCCGGGGTGCAGTCTCCTGGGGAACAGTGGATTCTGGGGACTGTCAGAGGAGAGTGTGCAGCCTTAACCCCAGGCCTGCCCTCCCAAACTTTCTTCTTTCCTTGCCGCTTCCTGCTCCCCCCTCCCTGCCTCCTGCATCCCTTTGGAACCAAATTTGTGCTGGGCCTGGAAGGGACAGGTATTGGATTTGGTCTCTGAACTCACAGATCTCACAGGCAAGTGATGAGAAAATTACCCTACAGGGTGATTATGAAAGTAGCTTAGGGGAGCTTAACTCTGTTAACTCTGTAGGAGCCCAGAGTTAACTTTGTGGGTCACAGAAGATTCTAGGCAGGCCCTTCCCTGGAGGAATCTAGAAGCCGGTCTAGCAGTCAGACTGAGCTAGAGACACAAGATAGTAAGCGAAGAGCGACTTAGAATTTTCTTAGACAAGGTGAGAAATGGTGTTCCATGCAGAGGGTACGGCTTGTGCCGGGCACTCAGCTTGGCGCTTTATGTATATCATCTCCTTTAATCTTCCCAGCATCCCTGTGGGGGGTAAGGCCTACATGGCCATTTTACAGATGAAGAATGGAGGCACAGTTGTTGAGTAACTTGTCCTCGGTCCCTCAGCTAGAAGAGCAGGGAAGGGTTTGAAACCCACAGCACTGGGCACACTGCCTTCCAGACGCTGCAGGGAGACATAGACAGGCCCCCTGCCAGCACTTCCAGCTCCCCACTTAGGCCAAGTCGCCCCTACATGCTGGGCAGGTCCCTCGAGTCCTTCCACAGAGCTTCACTGTCTGCAGCCTGAAAGAATGCCAGCCCACCCACACCCGCAAGATCGCTTTGCAGATGTAGGGCCGTGCAGAAGCGGGGATTAAAATACCGCACAATGCGATTGATTCTGACTTGGTGGGAATTTTAAAAAAAAAAACAAGTGCAGCAGGGCGATGCTGAGGGTATAAGAGCCTCCTGTTAGGCTGGGACGTATCACTCCCTGGCTCCCAAAGCACAAGTACTGTCAGACAAAAAAGTTTAACGTTAAAAAGTCCTCAGTCCCAAAGAGGGAGATGCAAGGGTGTAAATCGCAGCATTGTTCGTAATAGGGCAAAACTGGAAACAGTCCAAATGGCTGTCAGTACACGGGTTAAATGGACTGTGGTTCCTCCACACAATGCAATACTGTGTAGCTGCTTAAAAGGACGAGGTGAGTCTATGGTATAGTGTTCCGTGGAAAACTCAAGGCGCAGCGTCATACTATAGGGGATGACCTCTTTCTGGAAAAATCATGAGTTTTTATGTGCAGAGGGAAAGTCTGGAGAAATTACCATCCGACTGTTGATAGTGCTATCTCAGTGGGGGTGGCGTGGGGAATTACAAGGCAAGTGCCCCAAGTTATACACCGTCTAATGGTCACAGTTTTTGCAAAGCTCGTACGATCTTGAAAAGCAATACAAAATGATTAATACGTTTGGAAAGGAGGTTCTTATTCAAGAAAGCTTGGACGCTTTCTGAGTGGACAGGAGGCTGAGTGGACAAGCTGTGGGGCCGAAGGGCTGTGGCAGGAGGGAAAGGGAGGTAGGCGGGGACAGGAGACATCTGGAAGACTGGGGGCAGCGGGGCAGTGAGACCAGACTGAGATGGGGGCAGGGAGGGGAAGCAGGTTTGGGAGATGTTGAGCACACATTGGCAGTGAGGGGTCTGGGGGGGTTGTCACCTGGGGCAAGGTGTCCTGGAGGCCGCAGGAGCCCCGGATCTGGGGACAGAAAGGCACCATCCTCAGCGACTAGGCTGAGGCCATCGGCACAGATGAGGCAGGTAGCCCAGAGGAGGTGGAGAGAGAAAGCAGAGAGGCCCAGGACAGAGGCCCAGAGACCTGCGATTTGGGAGCTGGACCAAGGGGAGGAACGGAGGGATCGGGGCGGGGTGCAGGGTCCCGGGGCTTCGAGCAGGGGACAGACAGGCCGTGCAGGGTGAGCCCCGAGCACCATTGGCATCATTCACAGGAGTGACTCATGGCCCCCAGGGCCACTGGGCAGGGGCAGCAGGCCCACCCTCCAGGGGACAGGTGAAGGGAGGGCGTGTGGCAAGAGCAACAGTGGGGCTTACTGCGCACTTCCCCGCCGCGGGGCGCCTGTCCCAGCTCCTCACACACGGTGACTCGGTAACTCGCAACCTGGTAGCTCAGCTCATCCCCGCGACAGCCTGAGAGCTCCATGTCCAAGATGAGGAGCACTGAGACTCAGGACAGCGAAGTCACTCACACGAGGCCGTGCTCCTCGGGAGCAGCAGGGCCAGGTTTCCAGTCCAGGCAGCCTGTCCCAGAGCCCCGATGCTGGCCCCAGCACTGCCCCTCCGCTGCCCCTCACTTCCTCAGCTCACCTCTGGGCCAGAGCCTTTTCCCCAAACCCGGTGTCACCCCCCCCCAACCCCTCCCTCCCTCCCTAACCCC